AAAAAAAAAACAGCCAACAGGCCCGACCGACCAGGCGCCTCCAGCCCCCTCCCCCCCTACTTGCTTACCTCGTCAAAGTCCCGGTGAAGACCACAGTCTTCCCCTCCACCCAAGCGCCGCCGCCTGCGGACCCTCCCCCCCAGCCTTCGACGACGGCACCACCACCACCACCACTCGCCCCTCCCCGATGACGCCGACGAGCCCGGGCCGAAAATCGGACCCCCGAAGCGAGCGCCTCCACCACCGGACGGTTACCGTTCTCGGCTTTCGCGAAGCGAAGAAGGGAGGCGAGCATCGCCGGCCCCATGCCCTGGATGCCCTGGAACGCCTCTGCGGCGGCGGGCTCAGTCGGGCCGTTGCCGTTGACGGCTGCAAAAGTGGCGGCGGCGACGGCAGCATCGGCGGCGGCGGCGGCGTTGGTTTCTTGTCGTTCAGCGGCAGTGTTGGCGACGGCGGCGGTTTCTCTGTCCCGGGTGTGTTGGGCCGCCTCTAGCGCTTGGGACGCGTCCGAAGCCCTGCTCTCCGGGAGTGCGTGTGACACCGGCAATCAAGAAGCAAGTTTTGCCATGAGTGTTCGTGGAAGGAACGGGGAGGGATGGCGAAAAAGAGAGTCAGCTCAAGGATGCAACAAGAGAAGCGGACGCTCAAAGGTTCACGATAAATTCAACACACACCATACGGGACACGTCCGTTTGGCGCAATCGACAATAATTTTAGTTCAACACAACACACCTCACGATGAACACGCCTCATCTATCTGGGGCATTATATTTTTCAGACTGAGTTGGGGTACAGTGCATAGCGCCGGTGGCCACGGAAACGTTTGCTTTTCTCCTTCAAGAGTACGGGAGAAGAAACGCTGAATTGTAGAGGACAGAACTTTTTTTTTCTTGTGACAAGGTGGCAACAACAACAACACCACACCCACCACCACCGCCACCAACTACAACAACCTCCACCCATATGAATGACCCATCACAATCGCCGGGAAAAAAATAGGAGTCGGTTGCTACAGAGGGAACAAGAATCGCGTCATGGGCGCACACCAACCCTTCCGCACGCCGCCACCTCGCCACACAGCAGGGGTCGACTGACCTTGTGAGCGCTCCCCAAAACGCCTCGAAATCTCCGTTGAACTCCTCCGCGATTACTTCCGCCATGCGCGCGCCCACGAGTGGAACACCCAGGGAATATATGAACCTGAGGAGTAAGGGCGGCGGTGGAGCAGCAGCAGCAGCAGCAGCAGCAGCAGCGACGGTGAATGAATGACAATTCGGTTGAAAAAAAAGGCAGACCGGAAGAAAGACAAAAAACATCAAGACAGAAATTATATAGTGCTGGGTGACGACGCTTGCTGGTGCGGCCAGAATTGCACCGAAATATGGAAGGACAGACGCACATATTAAATTACATAGTGCTGGGTGACGACGCTTGCTGGTGCGTCCAGAATTGCACCGAAATATGGAAGGACAGACGCACATATTAACTAGGATGACAAAAAAAAAGCCGCCACTGCGTGTGCGTATGCTGAGCACACTTGCGTCGGCACGGAGACCGTTCCCCCTTGCACCGCGAATAAGACGGAGCCGACCCGGAAAATACAACCAAGCGCTGCCTGTCTGCCAGCCCGCACCGCCGCGGTCTGCTGGTGCTCACGAAGGTTCTTTAGAAATAAATGTGCTGAGACCCTTCTAAAGCCTGGACAAAAGAAATGTGCCACCCGCGCACAGACGACAAAAAGGGCGGTTCTGGCCTGCTTCCGCGTCCAAGGGACATAAATACTACATTCGAAAGTGTTTATCGTGGCAAGTTGAAAGATTCCATCCGCGTCACGCCATTGCATCGGCCTTCTACCTGACGATTGACCTTATCCACGCGGCGACATGCACAGACGACCACCGCTGTACCACCGCCGCACAAAACACAGAAGCCGAATCAAACCATTAAGGCTGACTAAGCTACCGGTTTGATGTCGGCTCCTAAAAAAGTAACGTGGGGTCCGAATGACGCACAACGTAAATAATCCGGAACCAGACCAGTACACAAGTCAGCGCTGACTAGTCTAATGGTTCTGATTTCGGTCTCTACAAATTCATCCCTGAGGTCCGAATGACGCACAACATAAATAAGTCAAAATCAAACCATTAGAACAGTCACCGCTGACTAGTCTAGTTGATTGATCTCGGAATCTAAAAACGCCGAATACCACACTCCGCTCACCGTCCGAGCGAAACCCCGTCCTTGGCTCTGTCCACCGCATCCAGCACGTTCCTCGCGGACAGCCGCCCCCACCCTTCCCTCCCCTCCAGGATCGACTCCTCCTCCTCCTCCTCCTCCTCCTCCACCC